TGCCAACAGGGGTGTCAGCACAATCCGGCTTTCAGAGCCCTAAGATGTAATATCCTAAAAGGCACTAGCGCAGGGGTTATAATTCATTTAATGCCCGTCTTTGGGGCGCATGTATATAAAAAAGGCATCTCCATAATAACATGGCGATCCCATAGATAGAAGTAATGCTGGCAGCGGGGGCCAGGCAGTTGTGATGTGCCGATGACTAAGACGTGTCTCTGCCCGACTCTCTTTCTCCCTCTCTCTCCCTTCTGTCCCTTTCTATTTTCCTCAGACTTTTTCTCTTTGTGTCTCTATCATTTTCTCCCTGACATGCTCTCTCTCCTTTGACTGACAGTAGTATATAGACTTAAAGTATTTTCTTATTATTGTTATAATCATTGGATGGAATTTAATGGCTATGCCTGTCTCTACAAATACAAAGCAAAGCTATGTGCCTCAGTTGTTGATTCAGCTGACCACTATTTTCGGTCTCAAACCCTTGATGCTAAAAGCATTCTCTCCCTGTTTTCCGTTGTGGGCTCCTTGACAGCAAAGACTATTTTGAAGCCATGATCGGTGCCTCGGGGGGCCTGCCCTGTTGACCATGATGATAATTACAGCAATCAAAGCAACAATGTACCGTTACGAGACACATAGGTAGAACATGCCGCTGCCGCCCATACAGGGGATGCAGAGACAAAGGGTGCAGTTGACCTTGAAGAGCATGATTTCGAATGGCAAAGGTCCACTTATATATAGACTTTTTTCAGTAAATACTGTAAATGTCTTTTATGATTTTCTTAAAAACATCTTCTCTAGTTTATTATACAAATACAGTATACAATACATAGAACATACAAAGTATGTGTCAATTGGCTGTTTGTGACATCGGTAAGGCGTCCAGTCAACCGTAGGCTATGAGAAGTTAAGTTTTGGAAGAGCCCAAAGTGGGACAGGGGTTTTCAGTTGCACAGGAGCTGGTGTCCCTGATTGTTCAAGGGTCAAGTGTCTAACGGCGTTAACTGATGATCACCCTGTGTGTTTCGCCTAGAGCTCCAGAGGGCAGGGCCTGTGGGCTGGAGCGTGACAGCCTGGCATGCGCTTTGTTCCTTTTCTTTCAGCAAAGGCTGAGGCCGAACACAGGGCACGGAAGAGCATGGCCCGAGAGCCAGACAGACCTGAGCACAATCCCTGCCTCTGCCCTCTGACCACCCACGTGCCTTGGGCAAGTTCTTCAACTTTGCCTGAGTTTACTCACGTGCACCGAATCAGACAGAGAATGGACATGTTGCGCTGGGTCACCTATAAAGCTTACCAAATGCTCTTATTTTGACCAAGAGTCATTGAGTGTTTTCTGTGTGCCGGGAAATATACTGATCCCTTTACTTGAGGTAACTGAGGCTTAGAACAGTTAAAGTTTCTGCAGGATGCCACATAGCAAGAAGAGGAGCTGGCATTGACTCACTACCTAACACACCACCCCCGTTAGTCAGGGCTGAAAGAGGTAAGAGGCAGGGCCTCTCAAGTCTATCTCTGCGAGGCTTTGCTGCGTGACGGTCCCGCACCCATGGGCTCCATCATCCATTCCCAGCCTTCCTCCCTTGCATAGACCTGCAGACACTGTAACTCAAGCCAGCCCTTCCCGACATCACCAGCCCCGCTTCTTCCGTGGACCCTAGGGTGGGCAAGAAGAAGGGAAGAAAAGCAGATGTTGGGGGTGGGAAAGAAAAGGGGGACACAGACGGCCCAGCCAGCATTATGAGCAAATAAATTACTCAAGTAACCCTGTCACTTCCCAGGAGGTTGAACTGGTGAGTAAAAGCATTGTTGTGGCGCCATCTACTGGGCAGTGTGTTTGTTGTAACGAATTTGTGGTGAACGAGGCCTGGGTCTCAAGAGCAGCTTTTCTCTGCTGGCTGGAGACTGTGGGCCAGCGGTGTCCTGAGACCTGCTGGAGACAGTTCTTTGGGGCTTTTGTGATGATCAGAGTATAGGTTTTTTCTATTATGAAACAATGGCTTGCCAGAAATAGAAGCCCAGCAACCCCAACTCTCTCATAAAGAACGGAGACCCTATCTTCCCTATTGGGATGTGAGAGGGACTTTTTCACGTCTTGGTCTTGGCTTTTGTACATTGGAGTGCGCTTTTGTCCCATAAAAATGGACCCCAGCCACCTCCTATAGACACATGTGTATGTGCCTAAAATACCATTTGAGCCACTACAAAATGAAACATTAAATATTATTTTCCCTATTTACTTAAAAAAAACTTTTTTCTAAATACTGTGACATTGCCCTGTTATTTGTAAAACTATTTCCCCCCTTTTAAAAGATGCATTTAGTGATTTACAGTGAGAAGCTTAGAGAAAGAACAAGAAAGTTTAAGGTACAGAAAATGGCTCATGTGTGGTTGCAAAAATACTGCACTCGGCAATAGGCTGTCAGCACCGTAAGGCCAGACCTGTGTCTTACAAATATATTCAATCACAAACATGGGACTGAGGACCATACCCGAAAGACTGTCCCTGCCTTTGAGGAACTCACGGTCTGCGGAAAAGCCAACGAGTTGGTGTGTGACTGTCACTGAGTATGGGAGGTGTAACTGGGAAGGGAGGGCTTCTGGCCAGTCCACGTGGGAGGAGTGTCAAGGGTATGCCCCCTGAAGACATGGGGGACTGCCGTAGAAGGATTTTTTTTTCCTTCGTTTTTTAAGAACTTCACTTGTCAATTGACCGTCAGCCTTGATCTGTCCTCTCAGATAACTACTTATCATCTGTCAAGGGTTTCGCGAAATCCTAGATGGTTCCCTGAATACCCAACCCCATGGAAACCTTGGCTGTTCAGGACCCTAGGGACAGAATCAGTGCTTGCCAGACCCTGGGAAAGAAGGAAGTAGCATCAGGCTGCAAGCCACTTTTGTGTGTTTGTGTGTGTTAGCTTGGCTCTTTTCCAAGTAAGACCTTGCCTTCCACGATGTAAGTGAGGATGGTGGTGGACTTCTCATTTCTTTCTCTTGCTCCTTAATTTTATCTAAGAAATTAGTAAAGAAAAAAAAAAACGGATATTTCCGAAAACCCACCCTGCAGCTAGCTCATCCCAAATCCCATTCATTCTGCAGCAAACATTCATGTATTCCCAGTTCTGTATCAGTTACTGAACCAGAGGCTGCAGATGTCGCTGTCAATAGGCCCTTGACTGCCCTCCGTCTCTCAGTCTCATGGGGACACCAGGCAAGAGATGGATGATTGCAGTAGAATGCAGTACAGCATCGGTAAGCATAGAGGAAGCCAGGGACCCCAGCCCAGCTTGGGGAAGGGGGCTTCCACAGACCATGGCCTGTCCAAACTGAATATACACAGAACCTTATCCAATTGATAAGATGAGGCAAGTTCATCCACTCCGGGCCTTGTTGACCTGTGACGCTGCGTTGAAAAGCAGTTCTGGGAGTCCCCCATGCTCTCTTCTGTCATCGGAGAGATGAGAGGCAGGTTATGACCCTGGGTACACAGTTTAGGGGTTCCATATTCTGCAGACCCACCTTCCCCCTAGACTGGCCCCAGGGTCTCCTGGCAGGAAATAGAAGAGGTTGCCAAAGACTCTTTCTGAACCAGAACTGGCCTGCGCCACCCTCTCTAGCAAGGTGTGCCAGGTGCCTAAATTTGAGAGCTCCCAGGCCATGGCTGCAATGATGGGGATGCTGGACCTTGGTCCTCCGCTGTGTCTGTCTTTTCTTAGATGAGCTAACAGTCCTTTAGGGCAAGGCTACTGAGTGCATCGACCTCTCCCCAAACTCCAGTCATAAAGCTCAGTGTCGCCACCCAAATCTCCCAGTGTTGGCGGACGCTATTTTTCTTAGTTATTCTCAAACAGCTTTCTAACACTTTCACTTGCTGTGCGTTTATTGTGTGCAGGGCAAAGTTAAGTGTCCACATCCCTCAAGAAATTAAGTCACTTGGCCAAGGTGTTAGGGCAGAGGTGGTGGTGGAGCCCAGGTCCAGCTGACTCCCGAGTCCAGCTCCGACCACCCCAGGCCCTCTGCCCACAGCTCTCCGAAGACGCTCTCCTTTTGCCTCCTGTTCTTAGCACCTGTGGTAGGAAAGAAAGAAAGCTACCTAGATGAGCACACATTTCCCTGGGAGCGAAGGCAGTGGAGCTGTTGGCGCTGAGGCCTGCCAGCAGGTGGAGACAGACCGCGTAGGGGACGGATCGTGAGCTAGAGACAGGCACTTCGTTTCTTATTGTGGTCACAGATGCTTCCGGTGGCTTTGCCCTTTCCCTTCTCAGCTTCTCAATACAAAAAGAACAAAATGAATTGCCAAAAAAAGATAATTCCTTCACTAAATGACAAAGGAAAACATGGATCTCTTTCTGTTTGATTAAATTCTTTATATATAATTCGAACTTGGAATTCTCTATAGATAATATTTGTAATGTGTGTCTATATATATATAATACATTGTAAACATGTTTGTCAGTCGTTTAAAATCCCAGTTCTCTCACTTCTCCTTAGGTTGGAGTTTATTTTCCATTCTTTAATTCAGCCACTAAATAGGAGCATGTTGCAATAGTTCTAGGCTTGTGGACTGACCATACTTGGCTCACTTTCCTATTGTAGTACTTACATTGTGCTTACTGTTGACGCTGCTGAAACTCAGGTTTGGAGTCTTTGAGGGGAAGATGCTTGCATTTCTTATCACACATAGTTGTCTCTAAGAAAGAGCAGCTAGGGAGAATGGTTGGATAAGCAGGAGCCAAATGAGCGCTGGCTCTGTCTGGTTCCATTACATCTCCGACGCTTTCTAGGAGGCCTGGCTGGTGTGCAATGGAATAAACTGGAACCGTTTGTACCATTATGTGGCATTATACATTGATCCGCAGCTTTTAAGCCTGAACATGAGAAAAGTCTGTACTGTCAGACGTGCCTCTCCGTGCTGTGCAGTGTCAGCCACAAAGCTGAAGGCTTCCTCCCGCTGGCCGTGCCCTGCGAGGTCACTCCCTTCTCCTCTTCTCTCTCCACAGTCTGCGTTCTCCCTCACCAGAGGAGGGGCTCCGAAGACCTCATCGCTGGAGGCAGCGTCTAGACAGCCGGGGAACCAGGCACAGCAGCCCAGGGAGGAATCGGCATTGCCCAGCTGGACGAGCGTGGACAGGCTGGACGACACAGGTAACTGGTTTAAGCAGCGTCTGCTTGGTTTGTGGGTTTCAAAAGTGCAGTTTGGAGGTTTCTCGGCGACCGTGTGGCCGCTCAGCTCTTCCTCCCATCAGTCGGATTGTGTGTGTCTGTTTGAGGCAGCCGAGCTGCTGAGTACACGATGCATAACATGGTCATGTTTTCCTGCTGGGACCAGAGGGACCATGGTCGGCTGCACACTCAGCTGCACAGCCCACTTCAGATGCCTGGAGAATGGCCAGAGACCAGGACCAGGGCGCAGTCTGTGGAGTAGGGGGATGTGTCTGTATGGCCAGGAACACTAATCCCACCTGGCAGGGCCTGGCAGTGTTCAGAGCGGTTTGGTCCCGGCATTGGTCTGGTTGTAAGAGCATCCTTTCCGAAACCTGAAGTCTTTGTCAGAGTAACACTTGCTGCTGTGACAAGTAAACCGAACATTTAGATGGTTTAACCCAATCGTTTTACTTCTCATCACACAACAGTGTCCTGCTGCGGGAGGCCCTCGGAGGCTGAGGCTGCGTCTGCCTTGTCTCTGCTGTCCTCTAGGGCCTTCTAGAGCCCAGTGCTGGGTCATTCACATCCAGCCAGCAGATGGAGGAAGAGAAAATGGAAAAGTCAGTGCACTTGCTTCCTAATCACCTCATCAGCGAAAAGGCGCACACAGCACTTTCACACTCCCTGCCTGGGCAAGAACTAGTCACGTGGCCCCACCTCGATGCAGAGGAGTCTGGGAAATGTGGTCCACCTGGGCAGCCGTGTCCCAGCAACACAGCTCTGCCACGAAAGGAGAAAGGCACATGAGTTTTCCCCCGCCCCGCCAGAGGATGGCGTTGCTGTTTCCTCTTCCCGCTCCTTCTCCTAGAATATCCTGCCTCTACCTAGGGCAATTGAACACACCTCTCAGAGACGCCTCAACATCTCCGACACACGGTCCTTTATAAAGCTGTCACCATGATATCCCTCACAACTAAGCTGAGTCACGTCCCCACAGTCACACACCAGAAGGCTGCCAGATGCTTGGAGCCACATGGGTCATGGCGAGGGCTGTGAAGTCCCCGTGCCCAGGCCACGTAGGTCTCCTGTGCCCCACAAGTGATAGAGCAAAGATGCTCACCCCACGCCACACAGGTCAGTTCCTTCCCCACCTAGATACACATACTTATAATAGCAACTAGGCACGTTTGTCCTCACAAGAAGAAACCATTAAAAATGTTTTCAACCCAAGTTATCTGTCAGATCTAGACCCATTTACTCATCAACAAAAACAATAAATTAGTAGCATAGTATTCATGTTAGAAATATATTTTTAAAGATTGTACTATGACTTCTATAAGGGAAAAGATTTAACTAACGGCTATATAAGTATAGTCTATTGTTGTCATACAAAAAATTAAAAAACATTAAATATTTTTAAGTCATTCTAAAGATTTTCCAAAAGAGATCATTTTCATTTTAACCTTTTAGTACCTACCGGTAGAAACTGCAGAAATTCTATGAGTACATGAAATTTCCTTTATTTATATCATTTTTGTTTTGATTTTAAGTGTATTTTTCCTTTCTAAGTATGCTTTTCTTTTCCCGCTGCTGCCCAGCATATCCATATTCATTCATTCATTCATTCATTCATTCAATTTTTTTCTCTTTCACCATGGATTGAAAATTCTCACAGAGAAGGGACTGTTAGATTCCATAGGACATATGAAAATGTCCTAGAATAGATCTTTAATAAACAATAATAACTACCTTTTAAAAATCACTTTACAATGTACAGAGTCCATCTGTGGGCACTATTTTATTTACTCCTCCAACACCATTACTAAGCACTGTCGTCATCTTGTGTAGCAGATAAAAATCTTGAGGGACAGTGAGGGCAAGTGACTTGTCCAAGATCCCACAGCTGGTGAAGGCATATCTGGTCCTCAGATGCAAACACCATGACTCCAATTCGCAGGCTTTTTCAACTCATGCATGATAATAAGTGTCTCTCTACCATAAAAACAACAGCAAAAACAGCATTTCAGAATTCAAACTTACAACCTGATAAACTTAAAGAATATTAGAAAAACTTCTAAAAGACACTCCATTGCACACAACAGTCCCCCACTGAATTATGAGCATCCTAAATAAATTTGCAGAGGATTTCAGTTTTCAAAACATGATTTTGTGTTCAATCTTCTGTAAAATAAGGCACCCATGTGAAATTAAATTAAAAATAATAATAATAAAAGCACTTACCTAGAAAACTGCTGGTTTTTCTGAGGAATACTCGGCCCTCGGCATGCTAAAATGTTCAGGCCAAGCCCAGAGGTCCTGACAGATGTCTGATACACTTAGCAGGAAGCAGATTACTCCTGGGGGCCGTGGCTCAATCACAGCAGAGCAGAAATGTAGAACGGAGAAGGCCCGGAGGTGCAGGTCCCCTTAGAAGGTTAATGTCCACTGAGCTATTTTCAGCAGTTCTGTTTATACCTCCAGAGCCTGCTAGTCCACAGTTGGCTCAGCTGAAGGAGCCCAGTGGGCTGAGGAAACCACAGCAGCTCCCCTCAGTCTTGACAGCGTGTACGGCAGCTAATGGATTCCCCCAAAACACATTTTCACTTTGTAGACCTTGACTGAGCACCTAAGGCATGCACAGCTGAGAAATAAAGACCAGGGGACAGTCCCTGTGCTTGAGTTATTGTCTGCACGATCATGAAAGAGTGAGAGTGTGGAGGAAGGGGCGGATGGAGGGAGCAGAGTCCCTGGGGGCTATTCCCGGGGAACAGAGAATGTGGTATGGGAGCGCAGGTGCAGCTTTGGGCAGTTCCGAGGAAGCAGCTTGACAGCCAAGGTTTTCATAGGGTTGGGTATCCATGGAGCCATCTGCGCTTTCTCTGAGATAGAAGTTGGCCAACTTCTAGCTTTTCCCAGTGGAACATGGCAACCTGGGATTGTAAAAAGCACGAGAGAGGGGCCAGCAGTGGGCAGAGTCCCACCCCATCATATAGTGGGTGTTGGAAGTGGGTCCAGGTCAATCCCGGAGCCAGGCACACAGTGACATTATTAGCAGCCTTCCCACTGAGAGCCCCCTGCAGCCCCTGGGAACCTGTGTTCATAAACGAGGAGTTAAAATTACTTTTAAAGATTCTTTTAAAAGTTAGGACCTTGCCTCAATGGCCTACCAGAGCAGAGCTAAGGCCCCTGCAGGCCACAAGCGCAGAAGCTGGCATCATAGGGAATGATGTCCTCCAAAGCCACAGGGGCCCTCATCACTCATCCCCAGGGAGTCCTGTAAGATTCCTAATTAAAACGGCTTCTATTGGCACCTGCTGTGCCGGCCAGAGGCCACAGGGCTGGACCAGGAACCCATAGCTGAAGGAGAAGCATGACATCTTACATCCCCAGGCACGTGGGCAGAAAATGTTTCCTATTTGCCTTCAGCAAAAACAAGACAGCAACTTTTACCTGTAGCATGCTGGTCAAGTCTTGGGGCCCCAGCAGATGCTCTGGGTAGAGCTGAGCCTGGTTTAGGCCAATCCAGACCATGACCACAGACTGGAAGTGGCCCAGCCTGCCCCTGCACAGGATTTACAGCTGGCCAAGGGCTTCCACGGCACAGCCTGTAACCAGGAGCTGCCTCAGAGTTGGATAGAGATGCAGCCTGTCTCAACTGGACCAGTTACAGACTCTGTGACCTTTGACAAGTTATTTAACTTCACTTATCTTTGTTCCCTCATCTGTAAAATGAGATTAGAATACCAACCTCTTCCTGCCCCAAGCCCTTTCCAGAATGCGGCATGTGCCTTGGGTTGAAAATAAGCTGAACAGGAAAAAACTGTTATTCCTCCCCTGCTCACACAGAACCCCTCTGTCACCAGTGTGCGGGGCTTTTCCCACACTGCCGATTATCGGACACCGGCTGGGTGTCCTGCAGTTCAGTTCAGTTCAGTTCTGACGCTTCTTAGCTGGAGTTAATGACAGATCCCACAGTTAAGGTTCAGTCAGTCTCACGTGACTTCAGATGCCAATTGCAAGTCCCAGGTTGTCACCTGTACTTTTGACCGACCAGCTATAAATCAGGGTCTCCGTGACCCCCTCCTCAGGTTTGATAATTTGCTAGAACAACTCGCAGATCTCACAGAAACACTTATATTTATTTACTGGTTTATTATATAATAAAGGGTATGGTAAAGGATACAGATGGACAGCCAGATGAAGAAGTACATAGGCCCTGAAGGGTCCTCTGCACAGGAGCTTCTGTCCCCGTGAAGCTGGGATGTGTCACCCACCCAAAAGCTCCCTGATACTATACTTTGGGTATTTTTATGGAGGCTTCATCATGTAGGCATAATCAATTATTAACTCATTTTCCAACCCCTCTGTCCTCTCTAAAGGATTGGGGCAGGGGGCTGAAAGTTTCAAGGTTCTAATCATGGCTTGATCTGTCTCACGACCTCCTAGAGCCACCAACAGTTGCCTCATTAGAACAAAAGATGCGCCTATCTCCCAAAAACTTCCAAGGGATTTAAGAGTTGTGTGTCAGAAACTGGGGTCAAAGACCAAATACTAGCAGGAAACAGGAACTGAGATCTGTGTATGTATGTGCATGTTCATATATACACACACACATACATACACACATACATACATACACGCGTGTTCATGTATATACACACACACACATACATACATGCACATACACACATACATACACACACATACATACACACATACATACATACATACATACACACACATACACACATACATACATACATCATTATTTCAGGCATGCCCTGTCATGAGGCTGTGGTGAGTGTGTTTATAAAAAGTGCCAAGGACAGGGTGTGTTAACCTGTAAGATAGGCTGGGGCAGGTGATGGAGTCATCTCCCACTCAATGAGAGGAAACTGAGGATCTAAGAGACAAAACCGTGGCCCAAGTTCAAAGAGCCAGAACCTGAGGCTGCCAACAGCAGCCCTCTCCTCTCTCCTTCTGCACCCGAGCCAGCCTAGGACAGGAGTGGGTCAGTTAGTTCTCTGGAGACTGAGGTGACCAACTACCTAGGTAGACATTAAATCGAAACCAGACCTCCAAGTTCCTCTCCACCTGTGAACAGTGGGGCCCTGTGAGACCTCAGAGGACTCTTCAGGGACCTTTAAAGCTGCCATCCAATTAGGTGTGCCCCCCTGGACTTCCTAGAGTCAACTGCTCCCCAAGTCCCCCAGGAACCAGTCGTGGGGAAGGGACAGATGGCAACTCACCTTGCTCTAAGGTGGTAACGGCTCTCCCTGGTTTCTCTCTCCTTCCCACCTGCAGACCTGGCCCCAGTACTGCAGAGCCCTGATGGGAACTGGGTGGCCCTGAAGGATGGCACGCTGCCCCCAACCCGCCTGCTGGCCAAACCTAAGAGTGGCACGTTTCAGGCTCTGGAGGTGGCCTCCAGCGTGACATCTGCCTACGATGAGATGGGCTCCGACAGTGAAGAGGACTTTGACTGGAGCGAGGCTTTGAGCACTCTGTGCCCGCGGCCCCGGGGCCTGACCCGGAAGCCCCAGCCTCAGCTCACGCAGGCCCAAGGCTCGGACCAAGGTCCCCTGGCCATCTCTGCCTCTTCCAGGCTCTCCCCCTACCCCGAGGCCATGTGCTCTGACTCGGAGACCTCCTCAGCAGGCTCTTCCCGGGAAGCCGGGCATCGGGCCAGACTGTCTTGGGTGCAGAGGAAGGCCCCCAGGAACCCTGCGGCTGAGAAGATGCGCCTACAGGGAGAGCTGGACGTGAACTTCAACCTCCAGGCAGCCGGCAGGGAGACCTCAGACAGCAGCGAGCCTGAGGAAGCCCCTCACGCTGCAGACCGGAGGGCCAGGAGGTGGAGAAGGGCCCGAGTGGGCTCAGAGGAGCCAAGCAAGGAACCACCTTCCCCCGACGCCCATTCCCAGGATCTGGACACACATCAGGTAATAAAGTGGGTACACGCAAGCGCACACTTCTTTTCCAGTGGGATGTGCCCTCCTCCAGGCATGAGTGCCATAGAGTCCTGAGTTAGAAACCACAGACCCAGAGTCTCATCTTGGTTTTTGCTGCGAAGTAGCTGGGTGACCTAGACAGATCACATCAGCTCTCTGGGGCTCGACGTCCTCCTCTCGGAAATGAGAGCTTAGAGTTCAAAGTGGGTTTGCAAAGTGTGGCCCCCAGACCAGCAGCTTCAGCATCACCAGGGAACTTGTCAGGAATTAGCAGGTTCTTAGGCCTCACCCCAGACCTGCTGAATCAGAAACTCTGGGGATAAGCGTAGTCATCTGTTGTGACGAGCTCTCCTGGTGATTCTGCTGTGCATCAAAAGTTCAGGACCACTGGCTTGGAGTTAAGTGCCTAGGGTCTGGAATCAGCCTGCCTGGGTTCAGACAAGGCAAGGCATCCCTTTAGGCCTCAGCATCCTCATCTGTAAAGTGAGGATAATATTATAACCCACTTCAAAGAATGGTTGAGATGAGTGAATGCAATAACATTTATAAAGAGCTGAGCTCTGTTCGGGACACAGAGCTCAGTCAATGTTATTTCAATATGATGAGTCAGGACTCAGTTTCCTAACATTCTGTGATTCTTGAGTCTACATCACACTTCTCAGAATCCTTAGTGGCTCCGCCTACCCTCTTAGAGAATATGATTAAAGGTATAGACAGTCTTCCTAGAAAAATGCACACACACACACATACTCACACTCTCACACCATTTTGCTTACAATTTTAGGAGTTTATCAACCGGATTAATTTTATGTCCTCTAAATCGTTCCCAGCTCTTTGCCCATATGTCCTCTTCCTGGCAAAGGGCTGCAATCACCATGGACTGCGTTTCGAACTCTGTGGAACCCACTCCGGCCTTCCCATAGCAATATTTTCTAAACTCCTGAGCGACACGCGTAGCCAGGAAAGTTTAAATGGCCTGACATAAGCAATGCGTTGCAGTATTTGAAACTGAGAGTCTTGTGGAGGATATGGTTACGTTGCCTCCGCCTTCTGTAGAGAAATCATCATCATCACTTGCATTGCGATCAACTTGACTTTTTACACTTCTGGAGAAGCCACACTCCCTCCTGGAACGTCACTGCCTCTTCAGCAGTACCCCACTGCCATGCCCTGTGTTCTTAGTTTGGGTTCCACGAAAAGCAGGTCGTGAGTCAAGGATTTGGATGTGGGTTTGTGTGGGAGGAGATCCCGGGAAGCCCACGAGTGAGACAGGAGAGTGAGGAAAGCCATTTAAGGCACACAGTAAGCAACGAGGGCGATCCCACCCGGGACCCTCTGAGAAGCCATGTGGATCACAGCTCAGGGTTCTCCCACTAGAAGACAGGAAGCAGTTACCAAAGTCTCCCATGTCCCATCGGTGGAGCGTGGTCCCATGCAGGGTGGGTATCAACTCCATACACAGCCAGGCTGGCGTGGGTGGTGCCTGAGAAATCTCTCAGGTGGAGAAGAGAGAGACCTGGGCCCAACCAAGGTGGGAAACTGTCAGTGGAGCAGAAACCGTCGCCCACAGCTGAGGGCAACTCGTGTAGATTCAGGGGGACACAGGCTGGGGACGTCACCAGCATGTGCTGCAGTGACTTTCATTAATGTGCCAGCCAGATCCCTAATTGTGGGGCCCCCACGAAGGTAGTTGTAGATGCAGAGTTCCTCGGGTCACAGAATTTGACATCAGTCCCACCTGACCTGTTAATGTATTGCCTAGAAAAAGTCCTTTATTTGGTCTGAGCTCTCCTTGTTTTCTCCTCCGTCAAACAAGATCATTACAAATCTGCCTCCTGGGATTGT